TACTTTCAATAGTTGCGGGAAAGCTCGCCGCCTGTCAATGGAGCGCGGGCGGTTTGGGGTGGCTGAGTTCGATATATTCATTATATGTCAAACTTTGTTCGAAATAAAAAATCATTAATGCATGTGATTTCGCGCGTGATATAGGAACCGTTCGATATAGGCAATAATTCGATATATCCGTGTTCGATATATTGAGGTTCGATTGTAGCACTGCAACAGGATGACAGCATCTCTTGCAGCACTGTGAGCCACTGAAATGAGCTTGAGATCACACACCATCTAATCACCACTTGAGCACAGGTTCTCGTCTTGAACTTCAGTGATAGGTTCCTCAAAGCTGTCCTCAAGTTCACGACGAGACGTCGATTGCTGCTCAGCGTGTGCAGACATGTGCAATCGCTGGATTGGCTTGACTAGGCTAGCTTTGGCATTTGCTTCATCGTTGATAGACTGCCATGGCCACTTCTGCCGTTCATGGATTTTGCCTGTTTTCGTTTCAATTAAGGGGGGACATGGAGTGTGGAGATATTTTCTGTATTTGTGGACCAAACATGATGAAAATATAAATGCTAATGTAGTTTGTCCTGCTGATTTCAAATATGTAAAAAATTCATTGTAGGTCAATTAATTTAGAAGATACACAATGCTGCCACTCTATTGTTTTCGGAGACAATAGCAAAAAAAGTGCTTATCAAAAAGTAAATATTATTGCATAGATAGACAGTGCAATTAGCAATAAGTGCAATGCTGCAAGCAGATTTCAAATTAAAGAAAAACTAGTGATTCTGCAGATGATGAAAGCTGAGGGGTCACGTCACGGCTATCACATACAAAGAAATTTAATATCTTCTAAATTTGTATGGGCAGCAAATGGAAATTCTGCTCTCAGCACTTTGTAATACGCAGATTGGGCTTTATATTAATGAAAAAATTATTGCTCTAGCTGTTCTAGATTGCAAGATATCAACCCGACAAACTAGTAAAGTCACCAAAAAGCATGTTTTCAGAAAACTGAGAACAAAAAAATAAAGCTCATTCATTTACATAACTGCACTTGAAAATGCTCAGTATGCACCGGGCATGTAGTCCTTTCGACTATGAGTCCCTGTGTGGCACTTTTTCAGGGACTGGTGCATGTTCTCCATTGCTGGTCGCTTCTTGACTGATCTGCCGTGCGCCGCCGAGCCTTTTCAGCCATGCAGCTGCGACTTTGCCAGCTGGGATTTATGCTCAGCTCTTTCATAATGTCCTCTGATGCCTTTTTATTGCCTGCATTGAACTTGAGCACTGCTTCTGCCACAGCTGCCTCCACCGTGAATAGCGAAGCATGTCGCTCCTTTGGTGCTAGCGCCGAGATTATTGAATGCAGGTATTCGTTGTTATTTTGGATTTTCCCTTGCTGCCATCGTTGCAACAGTTTTCTGTCTGACAAGTGCTGATAAATGGGAAGTAAGGCTTGGCAGACATGTGGATGGAGCTTTCGACAATGTTTGGGAATGGACTCCTCCTTGGCCTTTGCCGCATTTTGTTTGCACCAGGAATTTGGACCAGGTGGGCACAGAGTGCGGTTTGCCACATCATCATTGAATGCGATGTGATGAAAAGTGGCCATCACTGCTGTGTGCATAGCATCAACATCACCCCTGTGCGTCTTCAGAGCCCACCCATAATAATTGGTGAGCTTGGAGATCAGGTCTCCTGTCAAGTGGCCCTTTCCCCAATACTCAAGGCCAGGGCCTTTGTGTTTTGCAATCAAGTTGCACAAAGCAGTGCCCATACGCTTTTGGACATGATCAATGCAGTCCTCTTTTCCCACTGGGATATACCCATAAACCTTATCTTCTTGAAGCGCAAGGCAACTGCGGCTGTCCCCGTCGCAAAGCCCCGTGGTGTAGCGCAGGTTTTGCCGCTCAAGTGACCTCCTGAAGAGGATGAGGGCAGCCTCAACCTCCATTTCCCCAGCCTTCTTGTCACTGTTTTTCTGACACGGGTGATGTTCCTTCCTTGCTGCATAAGAAGGGTCACCTTCCTTTGGGCCCGACTCGCATCCAGCACAAATGTTGCTCAAAACAACGCAGTCGAGCACCAGCACGCTGAACAATTCTATGACGGTGCCGAGACCGATATGAGATGAATGATCGCGAGTCATCCATGACCCATCAAACGACACCGCGATGTTTCTTATGTGGCCTATATTAAGTTCGGCGTAAAGTTCACGAACCGACCACGCGCAGTCGCTCGTCAAATTGCGTGCAGCACAATCGGCCGCGGGTGCCAACTTCGTCTTCACGTAGTGTTGCCACGTTTTTGTGTGAAGACCCCGACAGCTGATGCCGATCAACGAGAACACATCAATCAGCGCGGTCTGTCTGTTCCCCGTTGCCTTCACGGCGTGCGCGGCCAAACCGTTCACAGCAAAAGGTTTCATGTGTTCATCGCTACGCACGCGCGGCGAGCTCCACAACGACGCAGTCTCCCCACAGTTCGAACACACAAAACGCAACTTCGCAGCGAGTCCGACATTCCCAGTCGTCGCGGACAATCTGCAGTTCTCTGTTGCATGCCTTGCACTTTGCGAATACCAACAAAGTGCTGTTCACGGTGTCGAAATCTATAATTGTGATCGTGACTCTATCAGGCGGCCGAGCTGCTTCGTCGGCACCGTCAACCACGAATGTGCGTATCCGCTCCATAGCTGCAGCGAGCAACAACTCCAATAACTTATCTTCGGCTTTAGCTCGCTCCTCTTCCAAGTCAGATTGCTGCCGATAGATACTATCTAGACTCATGCGACCGCTGCTCGAAGGCTCCACGGCCGACGGACTTTGCACAGGCTCTGTGACAACTGATGCGGTAGCTAGGCTTTCCGTGGTAGCGTCGACGACTTCGCCATGAGATGCGGAGAGTGTAGCGTCTCAGGGGGTTTTGCTGTATCACGAAGCGCTTCTTGAAATTCGCGACTTGCGTCCTTCGCGCTTTTTTCGTACCAAACTTTTGCCGTGCGCGGAATTCGCGCTCAGGATTTGACATCATGAAACTTCTCCGCTGACACTGAGGCAAAATGGCGCGCATGGACGCGCGTCTCAATACCCGGGGCAGACGAAGCCAGGAGCCTTCACCAATAGGGAGGCAAGCTAAAGTCACGTGCGCGAAGTAGTGAATAGGAAGGCGCTCTGATACTTTTTTTTTTTGCCGCTCATTTTACAAGCTGCCAATGGTTGAATTGGACCCATTTTGGCGGGAATTTAAAGACAAAAGACGGCTCTCACATGAGACCAAGCGGGCCATGCTGGCACACATGAAAGGGCAGAGGCGCGTCACGGAAAGTGTGCGATTTCATTGTTGATTTTGGCTCAGATTTAGCTAGAAAGTGCCGTATAAAGGGTCTTAGCGGCTAAAATAATGATATTATAGGCATGAAATTCACGGTATAAGCGCGCTAGTAGCTGTAGATTTCAGAAACGCAATAAAAAAAACAATTTTTTGCAATATTTTTGGTCTCCACAACACGTGTCACCGCTTAACCGATGTAAGCCCGAAAATTTCATTTTTCATTTTTCATTCAGCCAATGTAAACCCAAAAATTTCAATCCTTAAATATATAGGAGACCAACCAAATAAGCCTAGAAGATAGTTTCGTTTATAAGCTTTTCCGTTTAACCAAGTTTCGTTTAATGGGAGTCCACTGTATGTGTCAGAGAGAAGACATCTCGGCTTTTCGAGTCCCTAAACTGTCAGCCCCATTCCCGATATGTAACGCCTCTATTTCTATGCTGTACATAAACCTCGCTTTAACTCACCGTCATCTTGTCCGCTCGTCTACCAGCTCTGCGCAGAAGCACTCACGAGCGCACGCTACTCAACAGCCAGTGACCTTGGCAGCAGCGAGTTTCGGAGCAGTGGCGCCTTCGGGACAGTGTTCGCATCGTCCCTTCGTAACACCGCAGACAATAAAGTGTTGTGATTCGTTTGAGAGCAGTACTGTGTTCTTGCCACGCTGCGCTCGATGCCTTGGATGTTCGAATGCGCATGTGCAGCGAGGTTAGTAACACAAGGCGACAGTGAACGCGTCCCTGTGGCTAGCTAAGATTGATCCCACAGTAGTGGCCATACTGCTTCGGGATACACTGTACACTACACCGCCAAGCCCCACTTGCCGGAGGCTTATGCATATGAGGTCTGCCCAAATTCTCGCCGCCAGGCCTAGTGGCCATCGCGAGAGTGTGCAGCATAGCCACGAGGGACCTTTTCCCGACCGGTGGGTCAACGCTCGCCATTACCAGTTACGACGTGCTCGCGGTATCCCCTTTTTGGTGAACATCCGCATGCGGTAGCCTTTGCTCCCCGCTCCCCAGGAGCGCACATTGTACGGTGCTTGGGGTGCTGCCAAAGGCAATAAAGTGTGTGTTTTTCTTAAGATTAAACACTGTCTATTCTGCCACACCGCATCGAGCGCGTTGCTGGCTGAGCGAGCGCGGAGCAGCGCCCTACATGTGAGCAGGCAATGGTCGACGCAGCCTGTTATCTTGCTAAGCCTGACCCCGCAGTGGTCTTTCACTATGGCGAGTACCAAAGTTACCACAAATGAAATTAACAAGCAGGTGCACAGCAGAGTTAATTAATTCAGGCCGTTAAGTGAAAATCAACACGGTGAAGCAACTAGTCTCCGCTGAACCAAAGATTGGGTGCCTTCATTTTTCAAGCGAGCTAGCGAACATCTTGTTTGCTGCTATAAGCTTGCATCCAAAAATGATCAAGGCTGTTATCACTTGACAATGCTATGCTTGCCACACTGTTTCCTTTTTCATTGTAGGATGTGCAACGTTAAAAGTCAAACTGGACCCTCACTTGCAAAGCTAACTTGGTGAGAGCATACTTACAGCACCAAGACGACTAACCAACATTCAAAAGTCCAGGAAAAACACCAATCCAGGACAAACCCACACAAATTTCACAAGAATTTCAAGAAAAAATTGCACCAGAAGGTACCCAATGCTTGCCTGAATCCAAAACTTGAGTCCCAGCTGAGGGGGCAGGAAATCCAAGAAGGGGAGGTCGAAGGACAGGTCAAACACCTCACCACAGAAGGCCACTCGTGCTACAACAATACACGTCAATGATCAGCAAGACAGCAGAACATGGCGGTGAGCCAAAATATCAGCTGACCAAACAGATGCAAGTTTGACAGGCAGGAGTAGCATGGAATAGATTAGCACAGGTTGCACAATTAAAATGTAGACACTAAGGCTTTTCAAGCAAGGCCGCAGAGTGAGAAGGCAGAGACGAGCATCAGGTTCCATCACTGCCGCATCCTCTCTTGAAAAGCCACGTGGCTTGGGCCACCTTTCAGTTCTAGCAAGAATAAACATAACGACAAAGAGATTGAGCTGCTAAATAAGGATTCGCCAGGTCGGGCAGGCAAGCACGGACACACTAGAACAACTATCAACCGAAAGTAGACAATGGAGAAAAAAATTATCTACACAAGCCAAGGTGTGGTAGCAGCAGCTGTCAATGTCAAAGTTCGGGCTCTGTTTAGGTTTTCAATTTTACTTCCATGCAAAGCTCCCTCACACATGCGCTTCCCTTATACTCGAATTGAAGCCTGCACGTCCGTCCTTACAGTATAGAAAACTGCTCAGTTATTAACATGATGCACTCAAATTCCGCTGAATAAACTCTACTGCAACACAATTTTTGCTTTTAAAAAATTTTTTAAAAATTTAATCTCTGTCAGCTGGGATGTAAAAACTGCACAAAAAATATAGACAAGGACAAAGGAAAAGACGCAGTGTCGTCTCTCTCTTTGTCCTTGTCTATATTTTTTGTGCTGTTTTTACATCCCATGTATGAACCACCAACTAGCCCAACTTTTGCTATTATTGCTCTGTCAGCTGTACGAACAAGCTGACGGTCTTGGCCAAGGAGCAAAGCCTCGCAACGTCACAAGGGCAGAAATATGACCATATTGGTTTAGTAAGACATTAGGCAATAGTACTTAGCTAAGCACACACAAGTACAAGAGGAAAGGACACAACACGTCTGCTAACTTTCAACAAAATAGTTTCTTTCAACTGAAGAACGAATATATGCAGTAGTGATGCTCACACATTACAGCAAGACGTCATGTTCGGTGATGCTCACATGCAACAGAAAGATATCATGTGCAAAGAAGTACATTTCTGTCAATCAGATTTTTACAGGAGACGCTGTAGTGTATCAGAAGGAGATAACAATGCCACTCTCGGATCACACGAAGACTGCAGACACAGTTGGACAAAGCAAACACTCAACTACTCATACAACTACTCATTTTTCAAGGTAAACAGCACGAAAATCAAAGACAGAGAAGTAGGAAGACACAAGACGAGCCCCGACTTTCAACTGAAAATTTTATTTATGAAATCATTATATATATATATTTATAGAGTGACTCGTGCATGCTCTTGCATGGCGAGAAAACTAACCAGACTAAATAAACTAAAATAACTGCTGCAGACACGAGGCATCTTGCCCTAACAACGTCAGTGGAAGTAATTTAAAAATGATAATTCTTTATGAAGGAGAGCGATTGACGGCTCACTGACACAGTTTTTGCCTGCCTTTTGAATTCTGTAGGCTTCGAAAATTTCCCTTGTTAGCTGGTCGCATTGGCGAAAAAGAACCTTCGTTCTCGAAAAGTCTGAAGTGCACTTACACACACACAGAAGCATGCACACACACACAGAAGCATGCACACACACACCGCCGACGGCTGCGCGAGAAAAGGCGCAAGGCGTCCTTCGTCCCACTCTCCACGCGTAAGCACCGATACTCAAGGTCACAACTTCCTTTGTGGTAGACAAAATAAAGACAAAAAAGTAAAACAGAGAAAAATGACGCTCAATCTCTAGCAAAAAAAAATAAAAACAAAATACAAATACACATATTATTAGACAAAAGAAACATAAAAACATAAAATACTCATGAACACTTAAAAAAGAAACGCTGGCAGTAAACTGGGCGGGGTCAACTTCTTTACAAGAAACGGCCGTAAAGAAGCAAACCTATACTGAGGCTAGACAGTAAACTAAGGGCTTTCGGTTGCAAAGAAGTCCGCCATTCGGCGCGAAATCACAAAGGTGACCGCTTCTTCAGATTATACCAGTGCAGGGTCCGAATGCGGTCCGCCACTCCGGGTGTGCCCGTTGCTTGCGCATAGTGCCGCAGGGCGCTGGCACAAGCTCGTCAGACCGTGACAAAGAGCTTTAGTTCTGCTATGTGGACACGGCTGAGTTTTCCCAAAAGAGATGTTTCAGCTAGTAAGCACCACAGACGCTCACTGACAATCAGTTCATAAGACCGGGCGGCTTGCCAACCCTTGGTTCCCCCGTTTGTCAGACCTGACAGGCACAGCATAGCGATAAATGTCATGCTTCGTGCCGGGCCAGGTCACAACGTTGCTTAGTTTGCAAAAACTTTCGAGCCACTCAGGTGACCGGCCACGAGTTCGTCGTGAGAGGATCGCAACAGTGCGGCTCTCAGACTTTTTTGGGCATAGCCACCTTAAACGGATCGATGAACTCGTCGTCAGTGGCTGTATAGCTCAGCAGGAGCCCCGCCATGGTCCAGCAAAATGGATCCGCAGAGGACTCAGCGACACACACTGTTTCAGTCCCCTAATCGCACCCGCCGCAGAACAAGCAGCGTAACGGCGCTCCGGCTCTTCAAGACAGTTTATGAGCGCCCGCTTCAGAGCAAGCAGTGTATACGGCGCTCCGTTCCTTAGAGACAAAACGAATCACTTTGCTGAGCCTTCAGTAACTCTTCGCTGCCAAAAGCGATTCCCATTCTCCCAAAGGGGGAGTCTGGTATCGCACCCACTCAGGACCGCAGCAACCGCCGCGTGCACGGCGTCACGGGTTCGCTCTCGGCATAGTGGCCTTCGCAAAGTTCCCCCGCTCGGCTGCTATGCAGTGTGCCGCTTACCTGGACAAGTTAAGGTCGTCCTCATGGGGACTCCCCCTTTTCGTCGCTGTTTCGCCCCCCACGCTTACATGTGCTAAGGCAGCACGAGCGGCCGTCGCACCGGAATCGAGGTTCTCGGCAGACAACAGGGGGCACAAGATAGCGCGTCAGCTACCACGCTGGTTGTGTGTTCACCACAAAAGGGGGTGACGACAGGGACAGGTGCCGAAGGGTGCCCGTCGATAGAGGCAATGGCCCCTTTGTGCAACGTGGCATGCTACTAAGCAGGCATGTTGCGACGAGCCCGAATCGCGCAGGCAAACTGACTCACTAAGAGGAGTCAAAAGCTCAGAGCTTTTTGATACTGCGTTGGGCGCCAGTGTAGTGATACGTATCCCGAAGGAGTACGGCCACTAGCGTAAGTCCGGTCTTAGCGAGCAGCAGGGCACACGTTAACGGTCGCTATGGCGAGAACACAGTACTGCTCAAGGTCGCAACACTTTGTTGTCTGTGGCGACACCAAAACACAGTACAGCCCATTGCAAAGACGCTGCGGGAAAGCAAATGGGCTTATCCGCGCCACGGGCGAAAAGTACTACACAGGGTGCCACGAGCCCGTCTCCATGGTAAAAATGATTCACGAAGACACCGGGACCAAAGCCTGGTTGCTTGAACGAGGGAAAAGACACTCCCATTGGCTTCGGAGAGATTCGAGCCGGTGTAGCCTAGCCACGCAACAGGAACCCGCACCACTCTTCATCCTAGCGTTCGTAAGGGGGGGGGGGGGGCGACATAAAGTAAGCGTTCACCACGGACGCAAGGCGCTGTTGGCGAAGTCCGAACGAGCCCCAAAGGGAGCTGACGGACGGAAAAGAAAAGTGTACTTACCCCCATGTCGTCCCCGGAGAGGTCTGACACACTCCCGACGCATGCGCGCAAAACCTCTCGATAGATTCTACGCCCGACACCGTCGACATCTGCTACCGGGTGAGAGGGGTTAAACGTCATTTCTTGCTCTCCCAGCATGACAGACAGGGGAGCAGGGGAGTCATGTCGGGATATGAGAATGGCAGAAAAGGCGGCAAAGCCCACGCAAAGGCAGCGGGCTAGCCTCGATTCCCACAAGGAACTTCCGCTCTAGGCAGATAACAGAAAGGGTAGACGCTTACATCTTGGACGTTGTCGTCCTTGGCTCGCAGGGGGGTTCGGGTTCGTTCATTCTGTGCATGCATGGTGCAAGAGAGCCCATCCGGCCGTCGGCACGCTAGTTTTATCTACCGTCCTGGTTTTCCTCTGCTTGACAAGAATTCGTTGATTTGCTGAGGGATGAAAAACCCCTTCTGCAGTTCGTGAAAGAGAATCCCAAGGGCTGGTCATGGGGTGTTCAATCCCTTTGCAAGAGGCTTTATAGATTGTGTCGCGAAGGAACAGACATGTCCTCGCTACTAGGCAGTCGCGCTGCCGTTAAAAGGAAAGGGTGGCTGGGTACACATGCTCCCCCACATTTTCCTCCCCTTAAGAAGGCCCCCGAATGACAGAGACTGATACATGGGAATATTTTGTTATTCAGCATCGAGGAAAGCTAAGACGGTGGGTCCCAATCCATGCCCCGTTGACCCCAGTAACTCAGGTTGTTGGTGGCGACTGAGAGTTGCCAGTTGGTGATGGGTCCTCTCATTTAACTATACCCGATTTTTTATCCATTCTTGTAATATCCTGCATGTAATTTTTTTTTTAGTGTTTCCATTATTCCATGGCGCTATCCCTAAACAGTGATGCATGTGGGCCAGTTGCCACTATGGTTGGCACTCGCACAGTGGTTGTTTGGGAGAGGATACAGCAGAGGCATTGTCTGTTGGGAGAGGATATAGAGCATGAAGGCATCAAGGTAGATAAGAGTGTCGCTACTTTCTAATTCAAGAGGTCTTAGCAATGTGAGCGTCATAGCCAGAAGCTGGTCGGTGGAGAGGCTTAGTGACGAAATGATGCACAGAATGAGCAGAGAAGCGATTTCAAGGCAAGGATGGAGAGAGTTTAGCTTTCCCCAGGGCATTTATTACACCCTATTTAATTAAAGGAGAAGAAAAGAGAGGTAATTGCCTGATACAGAGGGGCCATGACACTGATGACATGATGTACACGGTCATGCCTGATTGGTCACAAGAATTCAAAAAGGCATGCAGTGTGGCATGTGGCTCCATCCTGCGACACTGTAGGGTAACACATGTGCTAGTGTAATTAGACAGCACCAGGTGTAGGCACGACACAACAGATGCTTAAATTTTTACACTCCACACAGTAGCTGTAGCTGTGGGGTCGAGCACTATGAAACCCTGGCCAAATGCACCACACAAGAAGGGGCTTACCATTTTCCTGGTGAGCACAGTCAACCCAGTTGTACTCGTTGGCCAGTGTGATGAGCTCAAATTCAGTAAGCACGATGTTCAGGTGCCACGTATAAGGCACAAAGCGAAGAATATCAGGTCGAGCCTTACTTGCCCAATCTTCCACTAGGGCTGCAAAGAAGACAGAGGTTGCATTTCATCGATCCTGCACAGTACATCAATGGAAATAGCATCGCAGCCTCACTTTTTTTAAGCCAGTTTATTTTCCAAAACAGACATGCTTGGAATGTTTAACTCCTTTAAAACGAAGGCGATACAGCCTCACTTGAAAACTCTAACTTTTTATATATGAGCTTTCTGCCACTGACATCTTCACATAAAATCAAAGTACAGCATATTTTCAGAGTGAATGATCATGAGCGGGGTCAAGCATTCGTTTGTTCTTTTTAATCATCAACTACACAAAAATCCCTAGCGCCATCTAGTGATATTATTTCATAGGACATATACACACAATGCTATCTAGCGAGCAATTTTCAAAACTAACTAGAAGTTTTGAAGATCTGAGGTGCGCCAGCAACCATTTCGCGGGTATTCCGCCGTACGGCTCCTCCTTTTCCTTTCTCGTGCTCTGGTAACAGCGCGTATTGATAGATTGCGCCACATGCGGGCGCGGCACGTGTCCTCGGGGGGTGAGAAAATTAGCGAGGCCGGGTCACGTGCGGGCCTGAAAAGGCCTCTCTTCCGTTGGCTGGCGCCCAGTAAGCATGTGGTTTTCCTTCATCTGCATCCCCTTTGGGAATCACCAGAGGGTAGCCTGCCTGGGTGCCTAGGCATGCCCGGCGGGCGTGTTTACCTGAGTGTTAGCTTCAGTACCATACTCTAATTGATTGATTGATATGTGGGGTTTAACGTCCTAAAACCACCATATGATTATGAGAGACGCCGTAGATGAGGGTTTCGGTAATTTCGACCACCTGGGGTTCTTTTAACGTGCACCCAAATCTGAGCACACGGGCCTACAGCATTTCCGCCTCCACTGTAAATGCAGCCACCGCAGCCAGGATTCGAGCCCACGACCTTCGGGTCAGCAGCCGAGTACCTTAGCCACTAGACCACTGCAGCAGGGCTCGGTACCATAATCTAAGCCAAACAGCAGTGCCTAGTACTTGAAGGGGTCGAACCACGTCAAGCCACACTTGCCGAAAGCCTATGCGTACTACGTTTGCCCTAACTCTCGCGACTAGGTTCCACATTGGGCGCCAGTGTGGTGACCTCGCTGCTTCCCTTGGTGGAAGATCATTGTGGGTTCAGGCTTAACGAGCCACAGGGCTGCGTTTTTGTCACCTACTCACGTGTAGCACACCGCTCCGTGCACGTTCAACTAACAAAGCAGTCAGCGCTGTGCGGCAAAACAGACAGTGTTTGATTAACAGCACTATACTTTATTGCCTCTGGTAGCAACCCCGAACAAGAGTACACCGTCTGTTCCCGGGTCGCGGGGAGCAAAGGCTCCCGCATGTGAACGTTCAAGATGAAGGGGAGACCGCGAGCACGTCGCACCTGGCAATGGCGAGCTTTGACACGCCGGTCGGAAAAAAGGTTCCTCGTGGCTATGCTGCGCACTCTCACGATGACCACTGAGTGGTGGGACCAAGTTTATAGTGCCAAGAGATCACAGTATGCTTAACTGGCTGATGTGGCTCCGTGATGCTGCAGGCTGGCTAGCGCACTGGGCTCTCCTAATGCAGCATTATGACTTTTCAGTGCAGTATCGGAAGGGGATCACTAACGTGGTAGCTGACGCACTATTTCGTGCCCCAGTTCCTACGGGAAGCCTGGATCCCGGTGCGACAACCGGAAGCGGTGCCTTTGCGCAAGCGAGCGACATGGACGAAACAGCAGCAGCGCCGCCGGGTGGAGAAAAGGGTGAGAGCACTGATGAGCACAGTTACCGTGGGCCAGGCAAGCAGCACGCCGCGAGGCCAGCGAGAGGAGGAGCAAACGGGAAGCGAACCCATGACGCTGACATGAGCGGATGCGATGGCAGCCGTCTTGAGTGGGAACGATACCAGACCCACCTTTGGGAGAATGGGAATCGTTTTCAGCAGACTAGAGTTAATGAAGGCCTAGCAAGATGATCCGTTTTGCCACGAGTTGAACGACGGTCTTAGGGAGACAGAGCCTCGAGATGCTGCTAGTAGTGCGGCGGGCATAGGAGGACGGGAACCGGCGTGTGGCATTGGGTACACTGCGGATACATCCTTGCTGGACCATGATGGATTCCTGCTGAAATACATAGCCACCGATGAGGAGTCAGTGGACCCGTTTAAGGTGGTTATGCCCAAAAGTCAGAGAGGTGCACTAATACAAGTCTCTCACCATGAGCCCATGACCTGTCACCTGAGTGCTTCCAAAGTTTTTACAAAACTGAGCAAAATTGTGAATTGGCTTGGCATGAAGCATGACATTTTTACCTATTGCCGTTCCTACCAACTCTGTCAAGCAGTGAAATGAACAAGTGGCAAGCTGCCCGGCTTGATAAAATCGACTGTTAGTGAGCATTGTGGGGTCTCGACGAGGCGAGCGCCACGCTCTGCTCTTGGAGTGAACGGACACAGTAGACGCTGTCGGGGCAAACAAACACATACATACATTTATTTAACTAATTTAAACTACGATATCGACCGCCGAATCAATACATCAGTAATGAACACACTAGGACATCGGTACACAATAACACGACAAACACAAACAAGAACAACACTTGAGAACAAAAAAAAATAAAAACTCAACCTGCCTACAAGTTCAAACACATCACAAAACCAATCTCCTCGCTCTCAACAAAGCACACCACCGACGCTAGCAAAGAAGTCCCCCTAGGCCTACTCTACCCCGGCTCTAACAAAAGCTTGTACAGAACCACAAACTGTCGTCCGATACTCCAAGAGCTCCACATTGGGCAGCCAGTGTGGGGTCTCAAATTGGCGAGCGAGGCTTCCGCCACGCTTTTGGAGAGAATGGACACAGTAGACACGGTCGGTACAAACCAAAACAACATATATACATTTATTTAACTAATTTAGACGACGATATCGTCCGCCGAATCGATACATCAGTTGTGAACACGCTAGGACATCATTACACAATAACATGACAAACACACTAACACACCCAAGGCGGCGCGCCAACGCTTGACTTACCACGTGGGCCCCCGGTGTACAGGCCCACGGTGCCATGCGCCGAGGACCCACGCTAGAGACAACCGTTCGCGACAGCCGCCACGCGCAGAAGAGAATCGCTCAACTCTCGCCCGCCACCAAGGCTCGTTTCCGCCAGCGGTCACTGCTGGCGCTACCCCATGATGATGATGACGACAGTGATGCTCAACGCAAATACGCCACCTATCGCCTAGAGGCCGTCACCCGAAATGCGGCTTTGGGGCGAGGCACGTGCACCACAAGGCGCAAACAACTTTACAGGGCGTGCCCGCACCGCCACAGCGTTCATGGCATGTAGCCACCTGCGATCTAAAGGGGCCGTTACCCAGGAGTAAGCAGGGGCTCATACGTGTGATTGTAGTCGTTGATCATTTTTTCAAATGGGTGGAGTTCCTTCCGCTACGAAAAGTGACAGCGCAAGGGATGCTAGGGAGGCTACAGGAAGTGTTTTGTAGGTGTGGCTTTTCGAAAAGATTGATCACGGACAACGCATGATATTTGTCGCTCGGTTATTTGGTGCTACGTGCTGTTTCCTTGAAATCGATCAGTGCACCAATTCGTCCTATTATCCCCAGTCCAATTTGACGGAGCGAATCAATCGTACGCTCAAACCAATGTTGGCAGACTTTGCAAAAAGTCAAAAGGACTGGGCAGACCATTTGAGTGAACTCGCATTTGCAATCCGAACCTCCGAGAGTCCCTCTACTGGTTTCTCTCCCGCATTACTTAACTTGGAAAAAGGAGTTGGCAAATCCGGTAACCAGTGTCATGTGATGCCAGCTCAGAGACAAGGAAGAACCGGCAGACTGTTCTGCTTACGCTTCAACTTTTCAGGACAAGCTTTGTTGAGCTCCCAGTGAAGCAAAGCAGAGTCTGGCATCAACCAGGGCCAAGCAAAAGGCCCAATACGACCAGAAACATTGCCACTTTTCATTTAAGAGAGGTGATCTTGGCCTGAAGCGCAACGACGCTCTTAGCAACACGAGCAAGGATTTCTCAGCTTCACTCGCTCAGTGGCACTTCACGCAAGCAACGGCGCGCACCCAGTGAGGCAGACCGCAATTGGACCACACACCGGTATAATCTGATGAAGCAGTCACCTTAGTTATTTTGCACCAGATGGCGGGCTTATTTTTGCAACCGAAGGTTCACATTTTGTGAGGTCCCGAAGCGGCGAGCGAGCGTCACGCTCTTGGAGTGAACAAACACAGCAGACGCGGTCGGTACAAACCAAACAACATACATTTATTTGACTAATTTTAGAACGACGATATCGACCGCCGTATCTAGAGATTAATCGTTATCAATATGCTAGGACATCCTTACACAATATTACCATTCACTCCATGACAAACACACAATAACATGACAAACACAATAACACACCCAAGACAGCGTCGCCAACGCTTAACTTGCCACGAGGGCCCCCGACGCGCAACCCGCGGTGCCACGCACCGGGGACCCACACTAGAGACAATCGTTCACGGCAACCGCCACACGCAGAAGAGGCTCACTGAACTCTCGCCTGCACCTGGGCTTGCCTTCTGCCAGGGGTCACTGCCGGCGCTACCACTGTAACAACCATGGTGATGATGATAGTGGTGATCAACGCGAACACAATGCCACCTACTGCCCAGTGGTTGTAACCCAAAATGCGGCTTTTGGGCGAGACACTTGCGTCACGCAGCGCAAACAAATTTACAAGAGGTGTCAGTACCTTGACAATTTTAACTGTCTAGTCTCAGCTAACTTCTTTACAGCCAGTGCTTGCAAAGAAGTCGGCCCCGCCCAGTTGCTGCTGTTGATTTTCTTTTGAGTGTTCATGTTGCTTTTCCGGGTGTTTTCCTTTTTCTCTCGTCGCTGGCAGAAGTGATCGTGAATTGGTTCTTTAGCATGGGGAGAGAGACAAAAGATGCTCTGCACCTTCCTTCGCGTAGCGTGCTTGGAGAG